ACGTGCAGTTTTACGTTAAACTTTCTGGCCAGGTGATTGTGTCGGTTACTTTCACTAGCCACAAAAAAGACAGCCTGTCTCATGTCATGAACAGAATTTTAGGGGCCACTTTTTGTAGACAGTGGTTTCGAAGTTAGTATTACTCCACCAGTGTAATTGGGAAGAAAGTGCTGCTCGGTCAGCAATATACTACATCAAGCAGCTAACAAAATTACCATCTTAACGAATGAAAAACAATCATTGATACCATACCATAGGATACATTAGTGTTTTTGTGGATGTTTGAAGTAGTAGAGGTTGACCAGTCTATCTTGGGAACAGACTTCCTAAGTGCTTATAACTTGATAGTCCATTTAAATGTTCAGAAACTCGTCGTTGAAAGAATGTGTCTTCATGTTAACAGTAACATGACTAGCTGTGAAATTTCCGATTCTTGGGTAGCGAAAACGAAGACACATATTTTCACTGCCATTCTGTAAAATTACAGCGGTATAATCAGAAAAAATATGGAGTGGGACGTAAGTCGTATAGCACTCGATATTACACAATTATGACTTGACAATTAGTTTGCATTAGACCATGGAGACTATATCCCGAGAAGCTGATGGTTGCTAAGAAGTAATTTGAACGCACGATACATCTAGACCTCATCCGTCAGTCAAGAAGTCCATGGGTGTCCCAATTACATATAGTTCATAGAAAAGATCACGACTGGATTCCAGTTGAAGATTACCGCCATTAATTTAACCGAACTTTGGTAGATCACTGCATAATTCCTTAGATACATAGTTTTACTCTTGCACAATTAGTAAAATAAGTTTTTTTCCATGTTGGGTCCAGTAAGGGCTAAACGGCTAACACTGAAAAGCATCAAAAATCTGGAGTCTTCTCTAAACATCAAGACCGTAACCCGACAAAACAAAATTTGGAACAGTAGGGTGAAAAAATAATGGATATGATCAGAGCTTGGGTTTGAAGCTTAAGTGCTAATTTAGTAGACAAGGTGATCACGGTACAGCTGTAATCATCTGAAGTGTGGCAATACCTTAGGATTTATGCTCACCAAAGTTCTGAACCCTAATTATTTGAAATTTAATCTATCGCACTCACACGTACTTTACTCCAATACATAAAAATGGCTTTACAACTAACATTATTTCAGTAAGCAAACCACAGCAACATCCCGGGATTCCAATTATGTACAAAGCGTTCAACACAGTTGTTTGATAATTAATAATTTCAAATGTGACTCAATATTTCATCGATCATCAAAGTTGGGGTATTTTTTGGGTTGGGCTGGATAGTAATATTACATTTAGTAAAACATATCTATTCAGTATTACTTCGTTACTCATTGAAATCTAAATAAACCATTTAGAATTTGTTTCAATTCACAGTTTAGGTATAAGAGAAAGAAAGACCATATCAAACGTCTTCAGTTGATTCAAACCCACATAGTTTCCAAATTGTTAAGAGCTTAAATAAACGCAGTTACAGTTACAACATTTTCTATAGCGTTTACGCATGGATAATGTTCAACTGAATGTGAATCAAAGCAGTTAAAAATCATCAGTAAAATAATAACCACTGGAGCCTGAGGTAATAACCACCAAGCCAGGGTACATACAGCCCAGCACGAAGCCAGGTGCATGCATTATTATATATTTTTGGGTTATGTTAATGATCCTTCCGCAGGTTCACCTACGGAAACCTTGTTACGACTTTTACTTCCTCTAAATAGTCAAATTAGGTCATCTTCTCAGCATCAGTCGAGCGGCAACGCCACTACAACGACACCAATCCAACGACCTCACTAAACCATTCAATCGGTAGTAGCGACGGGCGGTGTGTACAAAGGGCAGGGACGTAATCAGCGCAAGCTTATGACTTGCACTTACCAGGAATTCCTCGTTCACGGGGAATAATTGCAAGCCCCGATCCCAGTCACGACGGTGATGAAACAGTTTGCCCAACCCTTTCGGGCCAGGTTTCCAGACTCGCTGGCACCGTCATTGTAGCGCACGTGTGGCCCCGGACATCTAAGGGCATCACAGACCTGTTATTGCTCAATTTCGTGCGACTTAAGTGTGCCGCTTGTCTCTCTAAGAAGTAAAAACTGGCACCGCACCCGCCGGATCACGACCACACTACTCCATAAAGAAGCAATAGAAGCCGCGCCCTAAACGAGCACAGAGGACCAGTCTACTATTTAGCAGGTTAAAGTCTCGTTCGTTATCGGAATTAACCAGACAAATCGCTCCACCAACTAAGAACGGCCATCAGCAGATTCGAATAGCGTTGGAGTATCTAAAAATTCTAAAACATATTCATCGGGAACAATAATGAAAAGCTGAAGCGACTCACTTCTTTAAGTAAAGACCTCTTGGTGGACCAATAAGAACTCTAGGTTGCTCGTACAGGTTTATGAGTCATTAGTCTGGTCGTACAACTTCGTGTCTTTAAATGGCGGTTGCAGCACGTGATATAATTAATCTGACATAAGGACATTACACAGTTATAGTGTTGTTAAAATTAAAAGAGTGGAAGATGCTGGTCTTGTAATCTCTTATTATCATGGCAGGATATAAACAAATTCAGTTGAATATTGTCACGTTTGGTGAGACTCATAACATTAAAGACTTGGAGACTGAAATAGCTTCCCTTCTGTATTCGATTCCTGCCAACTCTTTATCTGTTGACAATTTTATTAATTTATTTAAGAAAAGATTTTACCTATCTGTTAATATTTCGGATTTAATGAAGCTCCGGGATAAATTCGAAATAAACGAATAAAATGATAAACTTGTAATAATTAATAGAAGGATTCAAAACATTAGTGAACCAAAGGTAAAATGACCTTTCTAAATGCAAAATTAAACTCTTCTGTTACTATACGTCTATCATCATTAGTATTTGAGAAGGTAAAAGCAGGAGTCTGCATATCAGGGAAACAGGAAATTCTAAATTCCGTTTTAAATATTTGACCGCTTATGGTTCGATACACCATTTGAGCATAACAACTACTCACTTAGTCTATGCACTTACTAACAAAAACAGAAGATTATTAATTAGTATCATGAGCACACTTCAGTTGTGTGGTCTTAAAAAAACATCGTACTTATTTGCAACGATAATATAAGTTCTCTCGACATTTTTTATGCCTTGTTCCATTAATTTTCAACAATCATAACGGCTTCTAAGTATTAGACTTGTTCAGAAAAGGTGTTACAAGTGTTTCATATGTTTCGTGTCATTGCCAATAATCGAATCTATGATTCATCCATTGATTCGAGTATTACAAACAAAAACTACTCGTCACAGTCTGTCACTGTGTCATTTGTTCTACCTCTCTTCATTTTCAGTGACATAATATCCCTTCATCTGTAAAAGCAATGTATGGGGCGCTACACTATGAAAAGCATTTTAAAAGAAATCTTATGTAGGTATCTTAGTTACTTACTGTTTCGGATATACTTTTATCAGCTACAAAAACAAGAGTTCAAACTTAAGTTCACATTGTCATAAGTGGGTGACTTGAAAATGTCTTCAAACCCCATGATGAAGGGACGGATTCACTAACCTCTAGTAAATTTGAATATAATTACTTAAGTTAAATATGCTTGATCGTATCTCCATGTAATACATTCAAAATTGGTATCACATATTATTTTGGCAAGAGTAACAGTATTCACCCTATAAACACATTATTTATTTCAGTTGTTTTGGTGTTTGAATCGTCCTATTGATGTTTGGGACTGTTGCTAATCAGCGCTAAATAATTATGGGAAGATTCAAATAACCATTACAAATGAATTAAACTTCACCCTGTTACACAAGCAAGTAGCTATTTGAACTCTGTAGCTAAGTGAATAACACGATGGAGTTTGAAGCAAACGGTACTTGGTTCCAGTGCCATAGTGAACATCAACACTGAGACGGGGGACATCCATTTGACGATTTGTAAACAGTATGAAACGTGCGTCCTGGATTCCATTCCTAGCTACCATACCTCTTTACCTAAAATTAAACTTTACTACTTTGTGAAATATGTTTTCTTCCGTAACAAGTCTCTAGGCGTATGGTTCCGGGGGTTGGTTTCCCAAAAAGGAAGTTATTCATGTTTTTCAGTTTCCAAGGGAAACTATTGGGAAGCTTAGCATCAAAGTTTTATACTTGCTAGCACTCAGTCTTGAGAAAATAAGATTCTTCTTCGGAGATTCAATCTACACCATTTAGTATTTCATTAACGGGCATTACCAACAATCTATTCACACTAAATGATTTCTGATGACTATGAATTGATTACGCTATCCATTTTCTGTTCAATGAACAATTTCCTGCCTTTTGCACTCACTAACTCAGCGGTATCTCCTGATGTTTTTTTGATGCTTTTAATCCAAATTAGACTTGTATTGTAAAAATGACAAAATATTGAAAAAAATCTTTACACTTCCAGTATTGTTTTATATGATAGAATCACATAGAAGAAAAGAATTTCTTTAGTCTATATGTTCAACTTGCGCTAATGTGTCTCCGATTAAAGTGTATGAATAAGAAGGAATTTACAATCATATGTTATCACTGAATATAAACAATGAAATGACTGTGCAGACGGTTACTTAGTTTCATTGGAGCGAATAAAGATAATAGTAGTTTATATAGTGGTTTAAATAATGAATGAAAGTTGATTAATTGTAATATGGGGATAGATTACCGAAGTGAAATCAAAATTTAGCATCAAATAATTACACTTGATAAAAAGAGACAGAAATTTTCTTAACTGCGTCTATGTGGCATATTGCTGAACTCCTGATCATTATATTTAGAAAGAAATGAATTTTAAACTTCATACATGAATTAGGGCAAACTCCTTCCATTAACTTTCAGTAATGTTCTAACACCGGAACATCACTTATAAATTACTTCTGAACAACTTTTGACGATTTTGGAGATTACACCGAATAAAAGAATATCGGTTGATGATTTAATAGATGTGTACATTAAGCATTATGACCACGTTTTATGTTTAAATGATTTAAATATGAGTTCTGTAAAAGAACAATTATATAAATTACCATGTCTAATCTATACTGAAACAATCAATGAAGAAGAGATCAAGCACATTTTCGAACCTATGAACAAGGTAACTGGTTAGTTAAATGATATACAGAATATCAATACTAAAGCTACACATAAATATAATCAATAAAATGTAGGATCTCAAACTTGCAATCGAAATTTTGAAATAATACACAAAACGGTAAACCTTATCGTAATCCCCAAACACTAGTCGATATTATAGAACAATTCAATATGCCTGCTTGATTGATCGTACACAAGTCAAATATTTAGCTTATAAAGTTCTTTAAATGTTATTAAATCATCCATTGGGTAAAAAAATGACCATTGTCAATCTCATGGAATATTATCGATCCATA